ACAAAACAAAAACAAAAAGACAACACAATGAGGTTTGTTTTTTTTTTTTTTCTTTTTAACTTCTTTTGGTTTTTCTTTAAACAGTAAGGGACTGCAGTTTTCTATTCTTTTTCTAATATCCTTATTTAGCAAAATTAAAAGTTGGCGATGCTGTGTTGCTTTCCCAGACTTTTATTTGAAATGTGACTGCTTTGTAAAACTCCAGAGTCAAGGACTCACAGGCAGGAGGATGTCATACATTAACAGGAAGGATGAGAAATCTCCACTCCCTCCCTTCTCCCTCCCTTGATCGCTCATTCCCTCTCTTCCATTCATTAACCACCCACTATGTGCCATGCCCTAAGGAAGCTCCACTACGTGCCATGCCCTAAGGAAGCAGTTATCTAAGAAGTCCCTGCCTGCAGGGGCTTTACAGACCAGGAGGAAGGCAACCCACAGAGCCAGGATCCTGATAACCACTGCTGACTGACCCTCTGCCTAGGCACCAGCTAAGATGGCTCCAAAAAGTGAGGCCTTGTTGGGAAAGAAAAAAATAGCAAAAGTCAGCTTGGATGAACCCACCCAGAATTTTGCAATCAGAAATATCTAGAAAAGAGTTATTCTAAAGAGCAGGGGGATGCCAGGGCTTGGGGATGAGGAGTGATGTTTTTGTTGCTTAGGGTCCCTGAAGGTCTTGGTCCTCCTGCTCAGAAGCCCAGGGGGTCCTGGGTTGCCCCCTCCAGAGATCGCCCTCGGTCCCTGGCAGTTCCTCCAAGGCTGTTGTACTTTAGTCCTTCTTCTAAGCCTCGAATGCTCCTCACTACCTACCTCTCTCCCTGATGTGGAGGCTGGGGAAAGGCTCTCTGAAGGATCTGACCAGATGTGACCCCAAAACAAACCCTACTAGGGGCACAGCAGGGCCCCCATAACCTTAGAACCAAGCCTGAGTTTGTACTACAGCAAAATGAGACAGCTGGTAGTTGCAACAAGCTCTAGTCCCCAAAGCTGGCCTTGACCAAGGGCCCCCAAGCAAAGTGGGAAGATTGGGAAGAGAAGTTTTTATGAAAGCCACTCATATCTCCCTAATTTCAGACCTTAGTCCTGAGCCAGGGGAGGGAAGAGAGTGTGTGGTCCATGCACCAGGGGCCACTGTGGACCCACCCTAGTTGGAGGACCTTAGGGGTCTCACTAAATGTGACTGTCTTTCACAACCTGTAATCTTATGATAAAGGAGGAGAGCTGGGTTTTCCAGAGGCCAGATGACAGGGCAACTAGAGAAAGAACTCAGCCCAAACACAGAGGGCTCTTACTAAATCCACCAGCCTCATCCTCTGCGCTGCTTGCTCTAACATCCAGGAAGTTTTTGGAGGTCCCCGGTGGGGCAGGGGGCAGGTGCAGCTGTCTCTGCCTCCCCTACCACGTTAATGCACATCCTCCTCAAGGCAGGGCCACTGGGATTCCACCCCACATGCGCCAAGGCACAGGCAACGGGACTCTCAGACTGTGGTCTGTGGGTCCAACCACACCACCATTTCCTGGAGGTGCGAAGCTTGTGAAAAAAACTGATCCCTGCGCCTCACCTCTGACCCACCTCAGCTCATCTCTGCGGGTGGGCCTGGTATCTGCATTTCACATGCTCCCTGGGGGATTCTTACGACCCCTGACGTTAGGTATTTCCCTCAAATCGGGCCCTCTGAGGTCATTTTGGGGAAAAAGCAAACATCTTGATGCCTGGGCCACATCCCAGACCCACCACTCAGCATCATCAGAGGTGGGACCCCTGCACCAGTATTCTGTGAAATCTCCCCAGGTGATCCGAAGCATTCAGGGGATGAGAACTGCTGGTGTGAGCATCCCCTCTGCCTCCCTGAGCCACCGCCAACAGGCTGGTCAATGCCAAAGTCACGTCTAAAGGGCCTCATGTCTAGATAGGGATCTGTGCCAGGCTCATGGGCTAAATGTACCAGGATTCTTCTACTTTGTGGGAGACAGTGGAGAGAAGAGGAATCCCATTGGCTGGTCAGCCGGAGACAGGGAGTCTCTGCCAGGCTCTGCCATTTCCTCCCAAGAGTCGTCGTCTGCTACTGGCAAATGGGTCTCACCTATTTCCCCTTCTCATGCTGGAGGCAGATGCTAGGTATAGAAAGCCATTTGTAGGGAAATACATAAATTAGGAAAATCATTTGGGGTGTGAGCCCAAGGACTGCTGGTTTGGGAGATGATGAGACCGAACACCAGATCAGAGCCCCACACAAAGGTCCTGACTGTGGCAAGTGATCAAACTTTTCATGACCGCGGAAGGGTGTCCCGAGCACAGGTTTTAGAAATTAATAAAGCATGTGGCTGAAACATCTGTCTTTGCTCTGCAAAACGAGGCCCTGCACACATCTGGAGAAGGGGTGTGTGTTGGGGGCTGGGTGCAGCTGGTCTGGGGAGGCCGAGGCAGGGGCCAGGAGGGCGGGTGCTGGGGCGTGGCTGGACGAGGGGCAAGGCTGCGTTGGGGTCTTTCAGGTGTGCAGTGACCAGGTGTCTGTTGTGTGGCAGGCAGCGAGGATGGTGGGTGGAGAGCGTTCACAGCCTGCTGGCACCAAGCACCTCTCAGGGGTCCCCTTTCATTCCTGAGAGCACTGACAGGCCTCAAAGAAGCCAGGTTATTAGTGCTGGCATCTGACAGACACACCAAGGTGCAGGCAGCCTTCCCCTCCTCCTGCCACACTTTGGAGGCTGCCTTCCCTCTAGCCCAGTAATGATTTGATGTCTAAACACAGAAAACAGGGCTGGAGGAGTGAAAGAAACTGCTCCTCGCTGTTTCCTTTGCCAAAAAGTGTAATTAGCACGGCTGGACGGGAAGTGCAAGAGTCCCCTAGGCTCCTGGCCCCCGGGCACTCCCAGGAGATGACAGCAGGCCCCAGTGGCTGGGATCCTCACCTGGCTGTCTGCCTTAAACACACCCAGTCCTCGGTACCCAGAGACAGATCAGCAGAAATTGGCATCCTCTCGCCAGGAGTTTCCCCAGGGGAACCCCCATGCTCAGAGCTCAGGGGATGGGGCAGTGGCAACTGATCCTCTGGAATGGCCTTCAGAAGATTTGCAAGCAAGACCAAACCTCTCACCCATACCAGCCTGCAGGAAAATGTGCTCAAAACCTCACCAGCAGCCACGGTTTTCCCTTCTAGTTTTCCCTCTTTCCTTCCTTCCAACCTTCCTCCCTCTCTCTTTCTTCTTCCTCTGATTCCTCATTATTCAGTATAACCTCTTTATTTATTTATTTGAGATGGAGTCTCACTCTGTCACCCAGGCTGGAGTGCAGTGGTACAATCTTAGCTCACTGCAATCTCTGCCTCCCAGGTTCAAGCAATTCTCGTGCCTCAGCCTCCCGAGTAGCTGAGATTACAGGCATGCACCACCAAGCCCGGCTAATTTTTTGTACTTTTAGTAGAGATGGGGTGTCACCATGTTGCCCAGGCTGGCCTTGAACTCCTGACCTCAGGTGATCCACCCAGTTCGGCCTCCCAAACTGTTGGGATTACAGGCGTGAGCCACTGTGCCCGGCCAGTATCACCTCTTTTAGAGGTCATTTACAATCACATCAAAATGGAAATCACACTTGCTCTTGAACTCTGCAGTTCCATGTGGACACTTTCTGTTGCCTGTCTCCTGCCCGTGGGCACTGGGAGAGCTGTGTGCAAGGACTCTCAGCACAGTGTTCGCCAGAGCCTGGGATGAGAGATGACCCTTATGACCACCAGGAGGGGATGGGGCAAGCTGGTGACAGCACCTCTAGCACAGAAGGCCGAGCAGCTGTTAGAGAGTAGAGGGGCAGAGCTCTATGATCTAGGGAGGGAGATCTCCAAATATATTCAGTTACTGAAAAAAAATAGCATAAGTATGAACACTATGCTCCTTGTGTAAAAATAAAAGGGTGGGGTGAGAAGAGGATTAAGCAGTAACTGCAGGGTTCCCCGCCCCCCACCCCCTTAAAAATAGATCCGAAATAAATATTGCAAAATGTCAGCATTTGTAAATTCTGGGTGGTGAGTTCACAGTTACTGTTTCACAATTTTCTGTTTCAAACTTTGTGTTTGAAATACTTCAAAAATTAACAAAATGCATATGGGGAGATATAGAAATGCATTCAGCTAACACTTTCATGGTGCTCACATGGGCCAGGTACTCTCACGATCCCCGCCTTTATAAAGGAAAAACTGAGGCACAGTATTTCAGTTGAAGCACAGAGCTACAAAGAGGCCTTAAACACACCCAGTCCTCGGTACCCAGTGGTCAGGATTCGAACCCAGCAAGCTGGCACCGAAGTCTGTGCTCACAACCCCTACACTACACTGAGGGGCCCTAGGCCACACCCAGAAAGTTGGTATCAGGGATGCTGGCAGGCCTGGGATGGAGGGAAGTTTACTTTTTACTGTGTACCTTGTGTATGTACTATTTGAATCTTTTACATGTGCACGTTACTATTTTTTTAAATAATGTTTTTAAAGCTGGGAAAGTCCCAGTTACCAAGAAGTAACAGAATCCTGATAGGTGTGGAGCTTAGGGAGGCAGAGGAACTGCTCTAAAACCAGTAGTTTCAACTCCCGGCTGGCCTCCAGGGTTGCAGCAATTCGGAACCTGGGGCGCCATTACTTCCTGTCCGGTCTGCACCCCTCCCCTCCTGTCTTCCGGTATAGACCCCCACCCCCTTGCGGGCAGGTTGGCCATGTGACCCCAGCTGGGATGTCATGATTGGTCCAGCTATGGGCACCAGATCTAAGCCCAGCCAATCAGAATCCTGCCTTGGGCTTTACACTAATGGAAGGTCCTTTTCCTTATGGTTAGGGGACCCAGAAGGCCAACAGTCAGGGCTCCCTGACAAAGCATGTAGTTGAGTACCAGTATCAATCCGAGCGACAAGAGGGAGGGACAAGAACCAGTCTCAGCTGAGTTCACATCCTGGACTCTGTCATTTCAAAGCCAGTTCCCTCCCTGCCTTCCAACTTGGTTTCATTCACTTTGGATTGAGTTGACTTCTCACTGACAGAAACCCACAACCCACAACCCAAAACAAGGGCAGCCCATGGCCATGATTAAGCTCTGCACCAGTGGCGAAGGGATCGAGTGGGAGACCAGAATCCCAGCTCTGCCCTGTGTGTGGCCTCAAGGGAGTTACGAACTTCTGAGCCTTAGACATGCTCCCTGAGCTGCCACCAAGCTGCCTCATGGGGCTGTCCTAAGGATTAATGTATTAATCCAATCCCAGGCACATCAGTCATTAATAAAATTAATAATATGGTAACAACTAAGCCCACTATCTTTGGAAGTAACTCCTTACTAACTACATTAAACCCAAACTCGAGGCTCTGGAAAAGAGGATGCCAGCTGGGAGCTCAAACGGCAGAAAGGAAGGTAGCTGGAGTTGCTTCTCCCTCTTGTGTCCCTCTAGATTCACTGTAGGCTCTCCTCTCTGACCTGGGAACATGCCCGTGTGACCCACATCAACAAGCTCCCTCGGCCCGGTGGCTTCCAGCGGCCTCAGTCAATGGATTGAGGCAGGGGCAGGAAAGCAGGGTCAGGATATTAATTTCCCTGGAGGGTCCCCATGACTGGCTGCATCCTTTGAGCAAAGGTCATAGCTCCTACAGGTGCCCCTCTCACTCCTCCAGCAGTCCTCTGTCTGCTAAAGATAACTCCTTCCTCACTCAGGCCCAGGGGTGGGCGTAGCGCTCCACACTGCCAGCCCCAGGGTTCTGCATTCTCGTGGGAGGCTTAGCTCACACTTCGTAAATATTGCCTTTATTAAACTCTGCTCAACTTACCCAATTTGAGGGTGTAATCTGCTTTTCTCTGAGACCCTAGCTAGCTGATTGGTTCTTTTTCAGGTTTCTCCAGGCTCTGGCCAGACAAAATCCTTCTCTGCAGAGGATGTTGCCCCAGGGTCCCAACTCTGGTCATGGTCCCCTTTTCCCTCCAAGCTTCTGTACCCCAGCAGTTTTCTCCAAAATCCATCAGACCCCCAAACACGAGAAGGGACCTCTGATGAAAGCATCTGAGCCATCCAGCCCCAAAAGGAGACAAGCAGGGTCACATCTGGGTTCCAGAAGCATCCAGAGAAGCAAACCACTGATTTCTACACACCAGAAAAGATACCTGAGAGTGTATATTTATAGAAAGATACATAGAAATGGACAGATGGCGTCTATCTATAGATACAGAAAGCGCTGTTAGAGAATTGTGTAGGTACGTATATATCTGCCACATCCTCCCCCACAACCAACAGCACACAATTGCCCGGATCTTGGAAAACGACACTTGTTTAAGTGGTTGGTTCCCTCCCTAGCAGTTTCCAAAATGAGAAGGATGGTCTCAGGGATAGTCCTTAAATATGTGTATGTATCGCTGTAAAGGAGAGAGAAGGAGGAGAAGGAAGAGAAGTGGATTTTCATGTTGTGCATGGCAGAAGAGATGGGACTGCTTTGGGGAAAAGGGCTTGATCCCACTGGAAAAGCATGAAAGACAACTCCAGAAAAGACAGCTAAGGTTTCTAGGTTGGGACATAAAAACACAACAGCAAGACGTTCGCACTCTGCAGTCCACTGAAATCCCTTGTAGCACATTACAATCAGTTAAGGGCAAAATAAAATCAGAATAATACTAAGAGGTAGCAGCTGTTTATCTTCTCGGAGATTTCGAGGGTCTCTGGAAGCTGGGCCAGGTAAGGGTGCTCTCCTGGAAGAGGCTGGGGTAGGGCAGAGTTGGGGCTGAGGGCTCCCCGGCTCTGGGAAGGGTGTGGGCTGATGCGCACAGATGCTGCAGCTCCTGAGCCTCCAGGGAGCCTCTGCCCATTACAGGCCACACCAAGCCAGAGTCATTTCCTGGGCTAGTTATGCAGTCCCCACAACATATAAATAAAAGTTTAGTTCTGTGTTTCCATAGATCTTCTACATGAAGGCTAGCTAAATATTAGTGGAGTAACAATAATTATTAATAACAATAATCGTCATAATAACAATAATTAATAGAATAATAATGCCTTGGGGTATCGGGGGTGGGGTCCTTCATACGGCAGGGTGGGGCCCTGGGGAGGGGCTCTATGTCTGGTAGAAGTGGTGGTAATGGTGGTGATGTTCGTGGTGGTGGTGGTGCTCATGTCTCTGGACCGGCTGCCCGGCCTGGCTCTCATATACCACCACAGCGGGCAGCTCCCGCAGGTGCTCCCGCCCCAGAATGGGGCCGCCCGAGGCCAGCGGTGCCTGTAGGCCCCGGCAGCCCTGCTGGCTCTCCTTGGCTCGGTGCTTGTGCTTCTTGTGCCCGAGGGGGGCTAGGGAGGGGAGGAGGGCCGGGCTGGCGGCCAGGTGGGCGGAGGGGGACACCGCAGGGAAGGCGGGTCCCAGAGGGGGCTTGTTTCTTGCCCCTCTGGCCACGTGGCCCACACCCACGCTCTTGCCCTGGGCCTTGGGGGACCTCACAAAGTGCTTGCTCCCGTCCTGGGTGCCCCGGAGCCGTTGCTGGAGCTCTGAGACCTTGGCGATTGGGGTGTCAAGGAAGTGGAAGGAGCCCGGGTCCACGCCTTGGGGCTTTCGGTGTGGGACGTGGATGGCTTCCGGCTCATGGGAGCGAGACCGAGTGGGATTGGAGGTGCGGGGGGGCAGTTCTGACTTCTGGGCCACGGAAGGGGAGCCTAGGAACCAATTCAACAGACATTTAATGAGCACCTACTGTGTGCTGGGGCTTGTGCTGTACCCCAGATATCACCCCCACCCCCAGTTCTCCAAGACCAGAGCTACCTCCCAATGCCCGACTGCCCCTCACTGCCTTGCAGGAAAACTCTCTGAAATGGAACTTTCCCATCTGCTAAGTGGGAAGAACTGGTTCTTCGGTAGGTCTTAAAAAATACTCTCCGAGAGGGAGCCGAGAAAGAGAGATGGCAGCAGAGACCCCAAAAACCGTCTAAGGTCACTGGGGCAAGAAAGAACTCTAAGTATATTGCTAAAAACATACAGAAGTAACTCCTAGAGGAATTAAACATATGAAGAGAAAGGGGAGAAGGGAGTTGTGGGAGTGAAATTGAGCAAGAGGTCAACATAGGTCAAGGCTGATAAAGACACAGCAGCACTGTACCTAGGGAAACCGAGGTTCTCGCTGGAAGAAACAGCCAGGAGGGGTCAAAGTGGTTGCCCAGGGAACAGGGCTTGAATGGGCTGGGTTGGGGCACGGAACTGTTGTTTGTCATTGGGTGCTAAGTCCTTAGATACTATTTGATTTTGTTCAATTTCGTGCATGTATTACTTTAATTTTGAAACCGTTTTTAATGTCACTTTCTCCAAGAGTCTTTGACCTGTCCCATAATAGCTGTCTTCCTGAAGCCTGGGGTAGCAGTGAACACCACCCGCATGGCCCGCATGGCCCATCCAGCCACGCCCTGCCCTCATCGCCCATCGCAGGGTGCTCGAGTCCCTTACCAGGCCCAAACTGGGACGTGTAGTTTTCTATCCCGGCGAGATCTAAGTAGTGGTTTCTCCTCTCGATGTTCTCATCTACGCAATGGTGGTAGCAGCCAGACTGCTCCAGGCGGCTGTCACCCTGGAACCTACGGCAGGGGAGGAAAGTGAGTGGGGTGACACCGACCACCAGGTGGGGGCAAGTGCACAGGCTACTGGGAAGCCCCCAGAACGAACTCTGGACCGTTCATTCATTTTCTTCTTGGCCTTTGGAGAGGGTGGGGAGGAACAGCCCTCTCTACAAGCTGGCCTCCATTTGCTTCCCTGCGGATGGAGAGACAGACCACAGACCACAGCCCACGGACAGACCTCCCCACAGCTTCTGGGAGGAGTGCACGGGAGTTTGCTCTGAACAGGTTCAAAGCAAAAGTGAGAGATTATTGGCCAACTTCTAAGAATGCCCCAGTGCCAGGCTTCAAGCCGTATGTGCCCACTGCAGGTAGGTAGCCTAACCCCTGGTCTGGTTCCCCAGGGGGTACGGGCAGCAGAAGCCCATTAAACTGTTGGAGTTGTGCCTGGCAGACCCCATGACCAGCCCTACGGCCCAGGATGGGCCTCACCAGTGTATGAGTGTGTGTGTGCACACACACTTGTGACTAACAGTGTGTATGGAGGGGTGGGGAGAAATGCTGCCAGAGGTTTTCTTTTTCCCCTGCAGGGCTCGGGGCTCCCTGGTCCTCTCCTCCAAAGACCTCTTTGATCTGCTCCCGTCCTGGCTTCCTTCCCACACAACACAGTACCACCTTCCCCCAGGATCTCTAGCCAGCCTGGGTCCCTCTGATTCGCAGCCCTGTCCCCACACCTGGCTGTCACCCTGCTTGAACTGTTTTTTCTTTCCCCTAAGCGAGTACTAATCCAGCTCCGGTCATTCCCTTACCATTTGCACACTAGAGGTTAACACAGCCTCACGCCTGCCGTGTTACTGTTGTTTACGCAATCCCTTTCTTTAAACAATCTCTCTTTCCTTTCCTCCCTTCCTCCCTTGCAGCTGAAGAAATAACAGGTGAAAATTAACTACAGCCTCATAATTCCTTATCCACCATTCTGAAATCCAAAAAGCCTGAAAACCAAGATTTTTCATAACCCACGTGGCAGCCAGGCCCACCCTAAAGGGATGGGAAGGTGTTTACGGTCTCTATCTCACTTAGTGTGAACATCCAATCATCTCCCAGTAGAAACAGCAATGCGTCAGAGCCTGATGCACTGCTGAGAGCACCTTTCCAAAGCCCCAAAAATGCTGGACTCCAGTCCTGTCTGCCCAAGATGTGTTCCATAAAAGGATGTGGACTACATGTAGTTATTTGTTAAGATTTTCATTTGATTTATGAGTCTGTGCATCAAAAGCATTGGCTCCCTGAAGAGAACACAGACTAGAGCAAAACTTCTTGCTCTGAATCCTTCAGATGCAGGTACACAGCTGGTGTTCAACATATGCTTATGTGCACCATGCCCACATACCTGAGCGGGGCTCGCTGCTTCTTCTCCCAGCTCCGCAGCTCCTCAGTGGGCTTGGTCTCTGCTCGGGGCCTTGTGCTCTGCAGGTCTGAGTCCGGCCCGAGAAGCATAGGAGACACCAGGTAAGCCACCTGCTCCCACCCTCCCCAGGGCTGCCTGGCGTGCAGCTGCTTTGCAAGGTCACTGTGGGAGGGTTCCCTGAGCTGGGGCTAAGTAAAGGGGTCTCAAGGCTACCTGCCCTGGACACGTCCCCATCTAGCCTCACCTCCTCCCCCAGACTCCCCCTCCAGCCTCACCTCCTTCTAGCTGGCCTCAAGGCTTGCAGACTCCATGCTGCCCACAACACCAGCCTTTATACCAGCAGCATGGCTCTGCCTATGTGAGGCCTCTCACCCAGAATCCCTTCCCTCCCCTTCCCACCCTTCCCCCTACCCCTTCAAGGACCCATTTGAACCCCACCTGTCCACAAAGCAGCTGCCCCAGAAAGCCCACAGGTTCCCTTCCAGCCCTCCCAGGAAGGCTCTGGTCCTTCCCAAGAGATAGGAGGACGCTGTTTCCCAGGCTCAGCCCTGCAGCCCTCACCGGCCTGATTGACAAGGATGCTCCTCTTGCTCTGGCTGCCCTCGGGGGCCACAGTGAGCTTTACCCGCAGCATCTTGCTGGATGTCGGGGAGTGGTTGACAGAGGAGTCCACCACCTCATAGATGGTGTGCAGCAAGCTGGTGATGTCCTGAATGGGAGGGAAGCAGAGACCCATGTGGGGTTTCAGTCACGGGGCCTTGAAAATAGAAACCAGAGGGCCCGGTGGATGCTGCAGGCCTGAACCCCTCTGGCTGCCCCAAAGCAGAGCCTAAGGCAGAAACCTGGATGTCTGAGGTTCATTTGGGAAGAGATCCTAGGAAGCAGAAGTGAGGGAGCAGGGAGAGAGAAGAGGAAGATCCCATAAGAGAAAAGGAAAAGAACAGGTTACAGCCAGGGGCAACTGGGGCTCAGTCACACTGGGGCCCTGGAGGGAGAGTGTGGAGGCCACCTTGGAACAGCCTCATCGAGATAGAGGGAGGGTTTAGAAATGGACTCTCATTCCTCACTGCCTGAGAGCTCCCCGAGGATGCTACATTCCCTGTACTTTGGATTTTTGTTTGTTTGTTTGAGATGGGGTCTCACTCTGTCACCCAGGCTGGAGTGCAGGGGTGTGAGCATGGCTCACTGCAGCCTAGAACTCCCAGTCTCAAGCGATCCTCCGACCTCAGTCTCCCTAAGTGCTGGGATTACAGGTATGAGCCATGAGCCACTGTGCCCCACCCTCCCTTGTGCTTTTGGGTTTCCCTGCAAGGGCCAAGCCAGCTCCCTGTACCTGAGGAAGTTCTTACAGTGGGCACCGTCCACCATGGTAGCAGGTGAACTTCAAGGTGGGCCCAGGGAAAATGGGGTGGGAGCATCAAGAGCATCCGCTTCGGGTTTGAAATGAGAACTGGAAAGGGAGACGTGTCCCTGCTATGGACTGAATTGTGGCTCCCCACTCACTTGCAAATCCACAGGTTGAAGCCCTAACCCCCAATGTGATTGTATTTGGAGTAAGGAGATAACTAAGGTTAAACGAGGTCATGAAGGCAGGACCATGATAGGAGATCAGGGCCCTTAGAAGAAGAGGAGAGCTGGGATATGGCTCACACCTGGAATCCCAGCACTTTGGGAGGCCAAAGTGGGAGGATCACTTCAGCCCAGAAGTTCAAGACCAGCCTGGGCAACATAACATTCTCTACCAAAAATTAAAAAAAAAAAAAAATAGCCATGTGTGGTGGTGCACACCTGTAGTCCCAGCTACTTGGGAGGCTCAGGTGGGAGGATCACTTGAGCCTAGGAGTTTGAGGCTGTAGTGAGCCGTGAGCACACCATTGCACTCCAGCCTGAGCGACAGTGCCAGATCCCATCTCTTTTTAGGAAAAAAGGAAGAGACACCAGAAGAGGTCTCTCCACCACGTGAGGACACAGTGAGAAGATGGCCGTCTGCAAGCCAGGAAGTGAGTCCTCACCAGGAACTGAGGTAGGTGGCACCTCAGTCTTGGACTTTCAGCCTCCAGAACTGTGAGGAATAAATTTCTGCTAAGCCACCCAGTCTGTGGTATTTTGTTATGGCAGCTTGAGCTGGCTGAGACCGTCCCTAAAAGATAAACTAATCTGTGAGAACTTGACCAAATCTCATCTCTCTGAGCCTCAGGTATCCCTCAACCAGAATGGGGTGTCCACACAATGTTCCCTGGGTGTCTCAAAACCCTTCTGATTGGGGCTGGAGGGCACAGATTCCCCTCACTAGGCTTTTTCTGTCTGGGTATCTGCTGCGGTCACTTGTCTGGTGTTGGGGTGGGGGGCAACATCCTGCTTTAATTGGCATTGGAAACCTCTGGAGAAGACATTTTTTCTCTATGAAGCAGACGCATCCGTGGCCAGTTACCTGCCCAGCAATCCTTCACCTCCTGCCTGTTAAGTCCTGCAGGCTGAAGCAGCTGAGGCAACCCCAGCGCAGCCCCAAACAGGCAGGCATGTAGGTGGGCGGCCCAGAGTAGTGGGGGCCAACAGAGGCGCTGACCCTATCTGACCCTATCCTGGGAGGCGTGGCGGCTTGTCCTCTGACAATGCAGGTGGGAGGGGGTCACACAGAAAAGCCAGAAATCCAGGATCTTCAGTTAAATCTTCAGAATCACTGATATTGACAACTGATTTTTACCAAAACCCTTTGGGGGACCAGACCAGAACATCTGGGGGCCAGACTGAAATTGTGGGGGCCACAAGTTTGAGACCCAGGCTCCAGGCACTCCCTAGCTGGCTTGCTCAGTGACCCCACCTCTTCCAACGAGGCCCACAGAGGGCTCTCCTTATTCCTCCTGTCCTTCCCTCTGGCTTCTTCATAAGGACCTGTTTGCTCACTCTCTCTATCTTGGGCAGCCCATGAAGGAGGCTTCATTATACAGATGAGGTGGCTGAGGGACACTCACTTCATCCCCCAGACTTCTGATACCTTAGAGGACCTGGGGCCCTGGTGTCTAATCAGGGTGGAGGTGGTCCCAGCAGACCGAGGGTCTCAGAGCCTATGTGCTCTGGCAATTCTAGCTTGAAAATCAACCTCACTGACTACACAGGGCCAGACACGCAGGAATCGGTGTGCTATTTCCTGCATGAACGAACGCCTGAAGGAGGAGCAGGTCTTCTTTCTGACTGGAAAGCTGGCCCACACCCCAGCTCTGGGCTGCAGATGCGGTGAGGTGGGAGCCCATCCGCCCTGGCACTCAGAAGGCGTGGAAGGGAATCGTATTTACAGCCAAATTTGAGGAGTGGCGTCAGGGCTAAAAATAGACCAGGGAAACACCAGACCAGTCCTCCCTCCACTCAAAACCACTCCCTGGCTCCTCGGTGGGAGGAAGACATGACCCAGTGAACACTTTCTCCAGGGCCAGGCTGGGCCACCTTCCTTGGAAACTCTCTCCCTTCCTCTCATTACCAAGGCAGTGAAGGACAATGCAGGTTGAAGCTGTCATCAATCATCTTGCTACTGCCAAGGGGAGAGTCTGCCTCACAAGAAGGGAAATAAAGCTGAGGAACAGAGGAAATAGACTGAGGAAACTGAGCAGTGATGAAAACCTTGTCCTGAAGCCACCGAGCCTCTGGGTCAAGCCATCCATGAAGTCAGACCCTGGACCAAATTTCAGTTACATGACCCAATGTATTGTATTCCTTTTTTTTTTTTAATACAGCAGTTGGAGCATGTATTCTGTCACTTACATGTCAAAGAGTCCTGGGTGCTTAAAAGTCACAACTTCCTCCTCCAACCTGTTGGAACAGCTCCTAAACCACAGCCTGAGAAGGAGGTGACCTTGTTAACCCAGAACTCACATCTGGCAGCATAAAGATGAACTTCTCTTGCACTACCCACAGAGCTCCTGCGAGATCTGGAGGAGCATCCCAGAGCTGCTGGCAAGTGGGAAGAGAGGACACTGAGAGGCAGTGCCTGGGCTGAGAGCAGGGGAGCTGCCCTCCCTCCCTGTCCTCTTCCCACTTGCCAGCAGCTCTGGGATGCTCCTCCAGATCTCGCAGGAGCTCCCAGCAACTCCCCAGCTATTACAGCTTTCCCTGAGGGGCAGGACCGATGCAGGGGTGAGAAGTGGCAGTGGCAGGGTGCTGTGCCCAGGCCCTGTGCCTGCGGGCATGATGCACAGCAAGAGGCCAGGCAGGTGCACTCACCTCTCGGGTGACCTTGCCGTTGTTGTCAAAGTCGTACAGGGTGAAGGTCCACTCCTGCCGGCTGTCCTCCTCCACAGACACATCGCACTGGAGCTCCTGGATGCAGAGAGATGGGTGGGGCTGGTCCCCTATCTGTGGCAACACTGACTGGGTGGTGGAAGCCTGGGCCTAGAGGCCAGGCCAAGGGGTGGCCACCTGTCCTCTGCCCTCCCCAGACCTTGAGGGGACAGGGAGCACCTTGGCCAAGACAGAACTGGCCCAGGAGGGTAGCCAGAGCCCGGGCAGGGGAGGTTTGGCCTAGGGAGGGATGCCTGCAGGGGTGCCTGGTGGTCTGTGGGTCTTGAAAGACAAAGGAAACACAGGGGGTCTGAGAAGAGGCGCTGTGGTCTCAGAAAAGCTGAACTTGGACCAAGGGCAACAAGCAACTAGAAGGCAAGGGAGCATCAACTTGGGAGCCCCAGCAGCATGCCGGGGTAGGACAGCATGAGCATGAGGAGCTCGGGTGTCAGTCAGCCCCAGGCCCCAGCCCCTGCAGGGCCCTCCACAGCTTTGTGACCCTGGGCATGTCACTGCCCTCTGCTGTGCCTCAGTTTCTCTTTGTATACATTATGGAAAATGGTAGCCTCTCTCCCACGAAGTTGCTGGGAAGATTAAATGCCCCACCCACATGCCCTCAGCCCAGCTGTTTCCCTGCACCTGTGGTGGGGACAGTTCCCAACCTCCCGCCTCATGTAAGCTCTTCTGTCTCAGGGCAGCCCTGAAGAGCCCGGGAAGGAATGCGCAGAGGCGATGGAGCAAGGGAGGGACAGGAGGCAGTGGAAATGCCGGGCCTTCTCACCCCTCCCTGGGACAAATCTGAGCGCATGCTACATGGTTCCTAGGAGGCTCTCCAGCAGGCAGAGCCCACAGATGAACCGACTTCGCTGGCTTCCCTCCTTCCTCGCACCTGTGCTCCAGGATCGCCTCCCCTACACACTGCCTGCTCCCAGTGCCATGTGGCCAGGTCTGCTTAGGGGAACTGGAAACAGGAAGTGGAGGGCAAATGCTGGTGTCGTTTACACCTGTGCTTGGAGCACTGTCTGGCACATGGAAAAGCTCAATCAATGGTAGTAGCTGTTACTTTTGCTGTAATGATTAACATATTATTTCACTGAAATAATTATTTCAATCAATAATCAATGAAACAATCATTTCATCATTATCATTTTCAGCAACCTGAAGTGTCTGACCCTAGGGAATATGAGCCGCGAAGCGGTGAGCTGGTCACCAGAGGGCTGTGTGCAGAGGCTGGCTGAGTGTCAGACGAACAGTTCTAGGAAGCATGCTGTTCAGCAGGAAAGGGCTCCACAAACAGCCTTTCAGATCCATAAGATTCTATGGAAACAAGACCATTTTGTTCCATGGCATGCCAAACTCCACCTCTCCTTCCGCCATCAAGAAGGTGGCATCCGGCTGGCCTGGCAGGAGGAAGGCTCAGCTCCCCAGAGAGGGGAAGGCAGCTATCTGTGAACACTAGGGGAGTGAGCCCCAGCACAGCGTCCTGGCCCTGGCTACTGCAGCTCTAAGCCATTTCCCTCCAGCAATTCTCAGGCGCCTACGCTGAGTTCAAAGCCAACCTTGCTTCAGCCACGCCCGTTTGACACCTGCCAAGGGCCCTCATTGCTGCCCGAGGCACTGTTTCATGTAGCATGACACACGTGCCTACATACACACCCCTACACACACACACACACACACACGCTTACCCCTAAACATGTACCTATATACACGCACACCTATACAGGTACACCCCATACGTGCACACCCTACACACACATACCTATGTACACACACACACACACACACACACATACCATTTACCTGTTTCCAAGACAGCTTGGGTCTGAGCTTCAGAAACATGAGTTCAGTAACTGTGGCCACTTGCCGCACCTGTCACATGTGTGTCTCCTAGGCCTCTCCCACACCCCATCTGGGTTTGTCAGGTGAGTCCTGCCTGTGGACCACAGCTCAGTCCCGAGCCTGCCCCTCCAGAAGCAAGCACACTTGGGCTTCCAGGGAGGCAGGATGCCTGGGCCCGGTCTTCCTTCTGCCACTGAGTTTAGCCCTGGGCTTTGCCAAGCTCCCCAAAAGACCCTACAAGGACCCAGGTGGGCTTAGGGTGGGGCTGGGCTCCAGGAAGAAGCTGGCAGCCCTAATTCCTACTAGACACTACCTGTCCTCCTCAGGCGAGCCTTCAAGCCTCTTGGAGGCTGGAGTGCTGGTGTGCTGTGTGGGGAGAGCAAGCTGTGTGGTGTGGCCTGTGCAGGATGGTGGGGCATGGCAGGGAGACGACACTGGAAAGGGGGTAAGATCGGTCACCTGGGACCCTGCACACAGGAGACCCCCCATGTCCCACCATCCAGCACAGGCCACATGACGCGGCTCATTCTCCCCACACAGCACGCTGGCACTTCAACCTCCAGGCCCTTGCTCCTGCAGCTCCCTCTGCCTGAAAGACCCTTCTCACCCCAAAAGTTCCGCTGTGCACCCCTCTCCCAACTCCTACCCCTATGCTCAGAGCCTCACCCACCTCCCCAGTCTCCACCGCCAGCTGCTGTTCCCTCCTCCGGGCACTGCACAGAGCCTGGAAATGCCAAGTGTCTGTTACCCCACACCCCTCGGCCTGACCCCCACCCCGGGCTCCCAGATCTCATCTCATCACTGACTGTGCAGCCACTGGGTCTGGGGCACTCAACTGTCCCCTGGTCACATTGTGCACTCCTTGACGGCAGGAAACACACCCAGTCTAAGCTGGGTCCCCTGGCAATTAGCCAGTGCCAATCAGCACTGGTTAGAAAGAGGGACACCCTCTTAAGCACTTTAGACCTTTAGGCGCATGAACTCATGATGCTGACAACAGCCCAATGCAACAGACATCACCACTGTCCCCACCTTACAGGCGAGGCACGTGAGGCCACTGAGACTTTAGGGAACTTGCCCCAAAGTCACACAGCCACTAAGTGTATAGCCAGGATTTGAACCCAGGCCTGCTGACTCTAGAGCTATGCCCTGGTGGTCTCAGGAAGGCAAACATAGGGAAGGAAGGAGGGAGCAAGGAGGGCGGAGCAGTGGGGAAGCTCCATGCAGCAGGCCTGGGCCTGGCTCTCAGCACTGGGCACTGTGCTGGGTGCAGAGGGGCATGCTACACTATCAGGCAGTGGGGAACAGACCGTGCAGCCACTGGGTCTGGGGCACTCAAGTGTCCCCTTCCCACCCCAAAGACCCTTCTCTTCCCAAAGGCTCTCCTGTGCATCCCTCTCCCAACTCCTACCCCTACGCTCAGAGCCTCCCTAACCTCCGCCCACAGCCTCTGCTCCCTCCTCCAGGCACCGCACAGAGCCACAGAGAGGCACATCCCTGGTGTTGCCCACATGGGGAAACTGAGGCCCAGAGAGCGTCAGGGACCTGCCTGTGCCTCCTGCTCGTCCATTCCACCTGAGAGCCCCCGCAGGCACCCCCAGAACAGCCTCAAGAGTTGGAAGGGAAGGTTTCACCAAGCAAACTGAGGTCCAGAGAGGTGACAGCAGCAGCAGGGCCAGAGTCCTGCCTCCCTCGTCTACTCTCATGCCTTCTCCCAGGCTGCTGGGCACACCTCGCATGGAGGGGCTGGGACCAGGCTGAGTGGGTGGGCAGTGGTGAGTCCCTGGGGTCTGCCCTGAGCCAGGACAGCCCCAGATGTGGCAGGAAGAACCTCCCACAGAGGGTGCTATTCATGCAGAGGAAGGGCCTTCCTGTCTGGAAGGGCCTCAGCTTCCCTCCTCCCAAAGCACAAAGTTGTGAAAACCCATCTCATCTCCCTAGGACCCAGCACCAAAAGGAAACTTACTTCAAACTTCAGCTGCTTCTTGGAGCCTGGGCAGGGTTCGCTCACTCTCTCCATCTTCTTCTCATCTCCGCTGCCCAGCCCGTCGGTCTTCTCAGGAGGCAGGGCCACTGTCAGGGAGGGAGGCGAGGCAGCATAAGGACCAGGGTCCAGACGCAGGGCACTGCACTCACTGCACCTTCGTCTTCCAGGCCTGGCCTGGACATTCTCGCCAGTGGGCTGGGCCCACTCCTGCCCTGCCCATTTGCTGGGGTCAACATCACACTACTCTGGCACCTGGTACTGCCTGGGGAGACCCCCCGCCAAGCATGGTACACCCATTTGCACTGTTGGGGGCCCCCTCAGGCCCCTACCAGCCTGTGACTTCTGCCCTGTGGAGGCACACAGCCACCCAGAGCAGCGTCAGGCCAGAGGGTAGATGGATGAGAGTGGAGGGGTGCTTCTGGGGCCTGGCGAGGGAGCTTAGGAACCATGGCCATTTTCTGCAGTCTCACTGCCTTGCGTGCTGACATTTTGGCCTCCTCAAAGGTGCTACCACCTGGGCACAGCCTACGGCACCTTGGTGGATGGCCAGAAGGAGTGCCAGAAACAGAGTTCAACTGGGTTGGCACTCGTCCACATATATGTATGCACAAGCACACATGCACACACATACACACGTATGCACATGCACACACGCACATATATGTACACTCATGCATCACACCTGCTCGCACACATATGCACACTCACACATGCACACACACTCGCACATACACAAAAGGCATCTTCAGGGAGCACACTCATCCTGAACCTTGCATTTGGCCTCTGCTCACCCCAGGTTCCCCCTTCTCTGCCAAAGGTCACGGCCCTGTGTGTGGCCTGCCAGGAGCTGTGGGAGGATGAGTGTGAAATCCCACGACCTACTGACACTATTTTCCTGAGGAAGCCAGCTCAGGGTAGCACCATCCTCCTTGACTTAGGACCCAGACTACAAAGTGCCATCAATTCTTGGAATGTCCCATAAGCCTCCTTTAGTCCCTTCTGCCGTTTTGTCTCTGTCTGATAGTGGGGCTGGGGTTTGCCGGAGACATCTTTTCCAGGCCACACTCACAGCTCCTCTCCTCTGATTTCCTCTGTTGCTCTGGGGTAGTAAATGTATTGTCCTGTTTTAAAGGTGAAGAAATGGCCTGGCTCCTACTCCGGGAAGGGAGCCTGGTCCTTCTACCCTGACCCAGATGTGGCCGGGGGTTATGTGAGGAGCTGAGACTCCCCAGTCAGAGAGGAAGGCAAAGCAGGACTTTCTTGGGAAGTCAGCAGCCTGGAGAAATGAGGCCACTGGGCCAGGCAACTAGATGGGGGCTTTGTGTCTCTCTGATCCCACACTCCTACCACACTCACACACCCCAGCTATGCAAGCAAGGACCTAAGCACAGTCCCTGGGCCAGGCACAGTGGGGATGCCCCCAGTGGGCCTGGGCCCCTGCTCTCCTGCTCTGCTCGGTCCTGCGGGCTGGGAGCTCTCTCCTCTGCAGTTAACGAAGGCACTTCCCCTTGGCGCCACTGTACATAAAGATGAGGCAGCAATGACTAAGCACTTGCTGTTTACTAACTCCATCCTCACGAAGCCCTGTGAGGCAGTTATTATGATTAGCTCCATTTTCCACATGGGAAAACTGAAGCTTGGAGAGGATAAGTGCCTTGCTAGTAAACGACAGAGCTGGGATTTGAACCCAGGCAGCCTGAATCATGCTCACAGTCAGTCCACTAGGCTGCCCCTCCATGCCTTTCATGGCTCAATTCAGGAGACTCGGTGCTTCTCTCAGCCTGCCTCTCTCTGTCTAATGGAGGCCGGCCAGCCAGGGCAGTGGTCATCTCCACCTGGGTTCTGTTCTCTGGCACTGTGTGACCCTGGGTGGGTCACATACCTTCTTTAGACGTCTCAATTGCCCAGTTGTAAAATGAGGAAGCTACCAACCCCTTCCCCAGAGGATTCTTGTGTGGATGCAACAAGCCCTGATCACAACGGGCTAAGACCTCCAGCGCACTAGGTCTGGCCATGAGTAGTAACAGTCAGGGGACCGATGACCCCACCCCACTGACTCCTGGGAACAGGACAGTTAGCAGCTAAGTTTTCTCAAAACGGAGGCTTCAGGAATGCAAATGGACACAAAAGCATTATATCAAATATATACAGCCTGTGTAGGCAGCTTTGGACAAGGCCCTTGACTCCTCTGGACCTCAGTCCCCTCGTCTGTAAAATGGGAACACGACGGCCTCACCTTCACAGGGCTATTGGGAAAGGGCAATGAGGAAAGGGCTTACAGAGCACAGTGGCCGGCACTCAGTAGGTGCTCGATAAATGCTGGCTTTGCCAAGGATATAGACGGGCTGTGGTCCCAGTTGACAGCCCAGATCCCAACGATCCCGCTTGACCCCAAACTGCCCCACTGGAGAAACCAGAGTAATATCACGGCCTGCAGCATCCTCTACTCACCCCTCCTAGGCAGGGGGAAAGAAGAGAAAGAAAAAGAAGAAAGAAAAACAAAGCCCAGATCCATCTTCAAAGCTGCTGCCTCTCTCTGCAGAGGTCCTGGCTGGAGATGCAAGCTGGCCAGGCTTGTCGAAACCAAACTTCAAGTTCAAAGGGAAGTTATCAGAAAACCACCTTCAGGTTCAATGTTGCCTTTCATGTTCCACTTGATAAAATCCAAAGAAAAGGAACCTCTGTCCCTGCTCTCTCCTCCTCTGGAGCACTCTTCCCCCGCCATGCACGGACAGCCTGTCTTCCCTCAGGACCTCCCCTCTTCCTTCCTTTCTCCTCACCTGAAGGGGCTGGAAAACATCCCCCTCAACCCCTCATATGTCTTCCCCAAAGACTACGGTGGTCCAGATTGTTCTCTCTTCACCAGTGGCTCCCTCATCCCATCCCAGCTCAGAAAGCCACCCAGACATCCACAGGTCAGCTGAACCCGCCAGGGGCCCCTCCCAGCATGGGGCCTGTGATCTATCCTGCCCTGGGACTGTGGGGGTCAGGAACAAGGATAGTCAGCACTCTATCTCCACCAAAGAAAGTCATTCACCCTCCTATTGTCCCCTGCCCAGAAGAGGTGGCAGAGAACTGGCCATGCAGACCCCAATGCCGGGGCAGGGGCCAGGCCTCATCCACATATGAGCCCTCTGAAACTAAACTAAGTCAAGCCACCAAGGCCCCCAGTCAGCCCCATGCAGAAGAAACCACCCTCCACCCATCAGTGAGCGCAGGCTCATGGGAAGCAGGAGAGGGGGACTGGTGCTCGCTGCAGGCCGCCCAGGTCATGCCAAGGGGGATTGCAATGATGTATTTCTGTTGAGATCAGCTTTGGCACCAGAGTCTGAGTCCATTCTCTGCCTCTGATTCTGGTTTAGCGCAGCCATTTTTCCCCTTGGGAAATTATCTTTTGGGGGCCTAATATCAGGGAGTACTGATCATGCTGATCACTCTTCAACTGAAAGTCTGAGGAACTGCAGGAGACACTGTTCATTTGGAAGAAAAAGGGAAAGCAGAGGACCAGGTGGGAAAAAAGGCCTTTCACTTGCCTAAGAAGCACTTTTGGGTGCCTTAGAGCAGGAAGTGGCAAAGTGCATTTGCTGAGCCAAACCTGGCCCACCTCCTGTTTCTGTAAATAAAGTTTTATTGGGACACGGCCATGCTTATTTGCATTGTCCATGGCTTCTTTCACTCTATGACAGCAGAGTTGAACTGTTGCAACAGAGCCCACAAAGTCTGAAATACATACTATCTGGCCCTTCAGGAAAAAGTCTGTGGATCGATTGCTGCTTTAGATGTGTGCTACCCTCCACTTCTAAGCACAGGATATGTGCTTGAGGAGCAGGGCACAGACAATTTCACCTGTAACTTGCCTGCTTGGTTAGAAACCTTTGTGCAGTACACAACCTGCCCAACCATACAGTGGCCATGGAAGAAAGAAAATGTCAACTCTGCTTTCTTAAAGCCTATTGTCAGCTCATATGAATCTGGGGGAGTGGTACTGGTTTGAAGAGCTCCTTCTCTTTGGAAGCTGCTCCCTGTCCCTCCTCACACCATAGCCACGAGGAGTCGGCTTGCTGTGTTTACCAAATGACGGTTCTCTCCCCATTAGCTCCCAGCCTGGCAGCTCTCCACCCTCAGCAACTGCCAGATTAAATGCATTACTTGACCATCTTCACCCGGCTCCCTTTGATGTTCCCTTCTCAAGCTTCAAAATACCTTTTGGAGGGAGATCAGACAGCATTAAACAGAATTACTAATTAATTAAGCAAAGTTAAATTTTAAACACTGTTTGTTGTGTTAGCCAAAAGCCTGAACAGAACAGACTTTTTTCCTCCGCTGAGATCAAAGACAGTCTCTTCCCTCTCCCCTCCCCCAGTTTAAAAAAAAGGGAGGGGTGGAGAGGAAGAGAGAGCGAAAGAAGAGAGTGAGGAAATACCTGAATGGTGACAACTTTGATTGTGGGTCTAGACACCACCCCCGCCTCCCCATGGGCCCAGTGGGAGGCTCCTTGGGGATCGCATGCTGTGAGAGCCACAGTCACTCGGGACTGTTTACCCTGGCAAATGGCAGTGACCTAGGGAGCAGGATGGCACGGCCCACCCAGCCCAAGCTGCTGACAGCTGGTGCCACCCAAACAGCATGAGAAGAAGGCCTGTGAAATAAAACAGACCCACCCTCCTCAACAGTCTGGCAGGGTGAGCTCCTCGGGGCTCTTCCCCTTGGTCCGGGGTCACTTGGGGTCACTAGGAGACCGGCTCCAAGAAGCAGGCTGTGCACTGTACATCCCCAGGTGGTGCCACTCACATGACCGATACCCTAGATATGTGTATTGCTTATGACACCCTTTGGACAGATGGCAGAAAGGTGTCTTGAGGAGGGGCAGCTTTTTTCTGATTTGCACGAATGCATCCGGAGCTAGTGGGGTGCTGTCTCCCGCCGTTCAGTCTAGCACTATTCTGTGCGCTCCTATCTGGGACCTTCTGATTGCCTCACAGGAGCCTCCACATCTGCACAGCCAGGAAGCAAGTTTCTTGAGATCTGGGGCCCTCGAGGCCTCTGCTCCCGGGTTGCGCAATGCCTAGCGCTTCCCATCCGTGCA